AAAGTATTCCAACTTCAAGCACGAAAAAACAAGAAATAGTTGATTGGCTAATTGCTCACAATATTGATTTTTCTAATGAATTACGAAGGCCAGAACTTTTGGAACTAATTCGAATGAACAAAGAAAAGGTGCCATTTTCTTGTGTCGAAATAGCAAAACAGTATGGCCATCAAGTTTTTTTTACCCCTTCCTATCATTGCGAACTTCAACCAATTGAGGGTATTTGGGCGGTTGTAAAGGGCGAGGTTGCAAGGTCAGGTCCACATCCAAACCTTTTATCCATTTGAAATACACTTCTAAATGCGTTTAAAAAAATTTGATTCAAAAGTTATAACCGGATTTTAGAGAAAAGTGCTTAAAAATGCTAAGGAATATTTCGGGTCTGACGAAGATGTGCGATTAATTGAATATTAGGTTAAACTACGCCATCGTTATCAAAATCACTATAGTCATCGGGATCTTCATCGGGATCTTTATATTTCATCTTTCCGAAAATGTACTGATATGATTTAAATAAAAAAAAACAAAATTTACATAATAAAAAATTTTTCTATTAACGTTTTTCTGAGGTACGAATCTTTTTGCACTGGACCATATCTTCATAATTCTGGTAAGACTTGTGATAAAACTTGTACTCGATTTGAAAGTTGTCGATTGCATTACAAAGCTAAAAAGCATCAGCCTTGCATGGAATCAGGATGTGGTAAGCCTACTGGGTCATCTTGTGGTTGTTATCGTCTTCACATTAAGGGTTATTATATGATTCAATATGTTAATAGACTTTGGGATAAGGCCCTGATGTTTGATATGTATTCAAGAGGTTAGACTTTTAGTAAAAGATAGATTTATTATATAGTTAGTTGAGAGGTTAGACTTTTTTTGCGGTTAGATTTTACATATAGGTATACGAAAGATTAGACTTTTTTGTCTCAGGTTTGTGTAAAGGAAATGGCTTTAGAATGGTTTCCTGTATATTGATAAATTGTTAACGTGCTAGATCATAATCATTAAGCTTTTGATTTGCAAATTAGATAACAGCTAAATCGAACCTCTTCGAGGTTAGACTTAGCATATGGTATACATTTTGGGCTTGCATGGTCATGCCCAACTCAAATCGCGTCTCTTTGTTCTTTGATTTTCGATTGCCTCTCCAAAGGCAAGTAGAATAGCATAAAAGTTATTATTAAATTTGGGTTTGCAATGTCAGGCCCAGCTCAAATCACGTCATTTTGTTCCTTGATTTTTGATGGCCCCTCCTGAGGCAAATAGAATAGTAAAATTTTTTTGAAATATTATTTGGGATTAAAATCAGGCTAGAATGGTTAAATCAAACATTGTAATTCTTGGTATCAGACAGGCTAATTCCTAGTCAAGTTCAATAACATTATCTAGAATTGAGTCAAAATGCGCTAGAAGTTTGAATTTGATAATTGATTCATATAGCTAAAATGGGTTCATGGACAGTCAGGAATCTTTTCCGAATACTATTTTGAAATCTATCCCAGAAACCCCATTTTTGCTTTACTAACCAAATAGCTTTATATATAAAGCTAAATCCTCCTTTATCAAGATATATAATATTTTTTAATCTATTATAAGGAATCCATTTTAACATTTGTCTTTTATTTTTAGCATTCAGTTGAATATTTTGAATAAATTTATCAATAAAATTATTTTTGCTAATCCAATTAGAAAAATGTTCTTGAAGCAATTTAGAATTACAATCTTTATACCAATTATATCCAGTTTTTTTTAGTATTACAAATTAAGCATATTCCTTTTTTTCTAAATAAATATAAATATTTATATTATTAGTATTATAATTATAATTTTATTATAAATTTAAAATAAAACTTACTAATTAATTATATACAGTAAATTTTAAAAATATAAAATAAAATTATATTATATATTAAAGTAAAATTAATATTAATAATTAATAAAATTACTTATTATCTAGAATATTAATTATATTTTAGATAAAAAATTTAATTAAGTTTAAATTATAATTATATAAAAATGACTTACCATCTAAAATATTAATTATTTTTTTTTAAATAAACAATTTAGTTGAATTTAAATTACAGTAAAACGTATAATTAAATACTGATAAAAATAATTTACAATCTAAAATTTTAAATTAATTTTTTTAAATAAAAAATTTAGTTGAGTTTAAATTATAGTAAAAAGTATAATAAATGCTGATCATTAATAAAATAACTTACTATCTAAATTATTAATTATTTTTTAAATAAAAAATTTATTTAAGTTTAAATTACAGTAAAAAGTATAATTAAATACTAATAATTAATAAAAATAACTTAAAATTTAAAATATTAATTATTTTTTTAATAAAAAATTTAGTTGAGTTTAAATAACATAACAGTAAAAAGTAAAATTATATAATAATAATTAATAAAATAACTTACCTCCTTTAATGGTTTTTTTTTTATTTTTAATAAAAAATTTATTTAAATTACAATAAAAAATATAATTAAATACTGATAATCAATAAAAATAACTTACCATATATTATATTATTAATTATTGATTATTTTTTTAAATAAAAAATTTAGTTGAATTTAAATTATAATAAAAAGTATAATTAAATACTGATAATCAATAAAAATAACTTACAATCTAAAATATTAATTATTTTTTTAAATAAAAAATTTGGTTGAATTTAAATTATAGTAAAAAGTATAATTAAATACTGATAATCAATAAAAATAACTTACTTCCTTTAGTAGATTTTTTTTGATTTTAAATAAAAAATTTATTTGAATTATAGTAAAAAATTTAATTAAATACTGATAATCAATAAAAATAACTTATAATCTAAAATATTAATTATTTTTTTAAGTAAAAATTTAGTTGAAGTAAAAAGTATAATTAAATACTGATATTTAATAAAAATAACTTACAAACTATTATATTAATTATTTTTAATTTTTAAAATAAAATTTGGTTGAGTTTAAATTATAGAAAAAAGTATAATTAAATATGATGATTAATAAAAATAATTTAAAATCTAAAATATAAAATAGTTTTTTAAATAAAAAATTTATTTTAATTAAATTATAGTAAAAGTATGATAATAACTTACTATCTATTATTATTAAATATTAAATTTTTTTTTAAATAAAAATTTAATTGTCATTAACAATAAAAAGTATATTAAAATCATTATTATTATTTAAATTATAATTAATTTATTTAATAAATAAAACTTACAATCTATAATATTTTAAGTAAAGTAAAATTTAAATTTTTATAAAAATATAATTATACAGAATATAAAATATAAAAATAACTTACTAACTAAAATGCAATTAAACAATTTTTAAATAAATAAATTATGTTTAAATTGCAATATAGAAAAATTAACAACAACTTACTCCATATGTTATTAATTATTGATTAATTAAAAAGGTTAATTATTATATAATAAGTTAAAATATATAAAAAATTAAATAACTTACAAGCTATAAAATGAAAATTTTAATTATTAACAAATATATAATTGCTAATAATATAAATTCCATTACATACCATTTAAATCTTTGCTGAAAATTTGATATTTATTAATTAGAAAAGAATAAATAAATTTAATCCTTAAAATAATCAAACTTTATACTCAACTCTCTGATATAATAAATAAATTTATTATGTATTTTAAATAAAAAATGAATGGCAGAAAAATTTCGTTACCTCCTACAAATATAGATAATTTAAATGAATATATATTTAAATAATTAATATAAATTAACTATTATATTCATACATATTAGTAACTTCTTCAAAAGCATTTAATGTCCATGCATCATTTGCTTTGATTTCTAGTAATTTGTTTAAATCTGCAAGTGATTCCTCATAATTTTCCATTATACAAAAAGTTTCTCCACGATATCTTAATGCAAATGTATTGTTTGCCTCAAACTCCAGCATCTTTATCAAATCTGAAAGTGCTAGTTCATATTCACCTATAATAAATAAAATTTTCCTCGGTATTTTAGTATGTGTTCAACATCTGAAAATTGTTTTAAATCTGCAAATCTAATAATCTGTTGACTTATTAATTTGTCATTATATGGATTAAGAATTTCAGCCCAATTCTCCTTTAAAGATTCATTAATATCATCATCATTCATCACTTAAAAATATTATTATTAATACAGAAAATAAAGAAAAAAATAACTAAATAAGTATACCTGTGTATTTGAACTTTTTATAGCCAAAGTTTGCTCCTACAGTTCCACCTGGCGACCAAATGCCAACACAAGGATACAAAGCACGTTTATAATTTCGGAACGCGACGATACCTTAAAATATACAATATATATTAAATCTCTATCTATTATTTAACCTCAAAAACTGAGAATTTGTAATATACCTAGATTCACTCCGTTTCTTGTATAAAATACCGTATTATTTCTAAAGTTTTAACAACATCCGATAGTATCACCGGTCGTAAATGCTGTTCTATATGTTTTGCCATTATTTTTAAAATACAATTTCCTATCCTCACCATGATAATCCCATGAGCTATCTTCCCAGCCTACAATATAAATAATTCAATAAATAATATTTAACAAATTAAGCTGATAAAAAGAATAGTAAAATTACCTGGCATTTTATTTAGGCTAGCAGTATTTGTGCAAAATCCGATCCCAATCTCCCTATGGAATTTGAAAGAATAGAATTATTGGCAAATTTAAATAATCAACATATATATAACTGAAAAAACAATATTCCAAAGTTTTACAACACACCCATTTTCCCCTTTATCTATAATGTCAACTTCAAAATAAAATAATCCACATTGTTCAGAAATTGGAAAATTTGATCTAATTGCGAAGTTTTCATCTCCAACCAGACCTTTACTTTTTCCTTTATATTTGAAAAAATTGTAAATATCGTGATTTCATACAAAAAACAGTGAAATATAATAGATATACAAAGTGAACTCACCTGTATAAGTCACTATAAGCTTGTCTGAATTAAATTTTAAAAAATTACGTCCATCATTAATATCCCATGCGGTTGGTGACCCTATTAGAAAGAATGAAATGATAAAAGAGTTGTTTAATGTAGTCTACTAAATATGTTGCGAGGCTAATTATTCATTTGTATTTTATTTTTTTTTAAAAAAAAACAATCTATCAATTTTATTTTATTTTTTTTTTAAAAAAAAAATAATAAATTAAAATATGATTATTTTACTAAAAAACAAATAAATGTCCATTACCATCTAGTTCTCTTAATGAAGGAGCATCAGAAGAATCAGAAACCGGCTCTATAATAATGTATTTATTTGTGAAAATTTGAAATTAATTAAGGATATAATCATAATCTAGAACCGCCGCTTAGGACCGCTTATAATCCTACTTCATACCTTTTATTTCTTTTTTATGTTTGGTGAAAATATTTTTTATTTTTTTCATTACACTTTTATCTTTATTGTTAAAATCAGACATTGTTATAAATTATAAAAAAAAAATTAATTTCAAAGAAAAAAGAATGTAATGTGCGACACATATTGAAGATCTTATGTTACTGTATGGGTTGGGTAATTGCTCTATTGCCGATTAATTATATAACGTGACACAGTTATTATTATATTTTTTTTAAATGAAACCACTAATGAAATATATCCCATGATATCCGTTTGAGATGAGAATGTTTGATACAAAAATATTTTTTGCGAATTCTTGTTCAAATTTTTAGTGCTTGCTTGACAATGCAATTGCAAAAAAATATATTCTTACCCCGGATCATCGGGGTTTTGACCAAAAATAATCCGGGGTTGAATCCCGGACTTTTGAGCCTCAATTAACAAAAATCAATCGTTATAAAGGCACCAGAATTTTCCTTAATATTCTCCATTTTCCATTGAATAAAATTATCAATACCAGAATTTAGTCCCCAAAATGTTTATTAATACAGTACATTTACGCTCGAATTCCTCTCTCAAAGAAATTTACATATAGCAAATCTGACCGACTAACTAATTCAATTATTTTCCGTCCATTCTGAAACAATAAATACCAAATAACCTGACTGCATGTTCTTTTGTAAAGGAATTTAAGTATTAATACAAAAATCTCATTAAGTATGTTCTTTTGAATTGTTAATTCCTTAATTAAGCTTCCCTCCATACCTTACTTTCCTTCAATGGTACATTTATAAATTTATGATCGAAAGTTTAGTATTCTGTCAAAAGTATACATACAGTTTATTGAGACAAGTAATATAATGTCTAATTAATCTAATTTTTCATCAATAAATTACTAAAGTTTTATATATAATTTTTGAAAATAAAATGAATTAAATTGAATGATAATCTTAATTAACTTTTACTTTATACGAGCTGTTTATATGACAAAAAAAAATTCGTCCTAGTAAGGCAATACGTAACGTAATCACATACTTTTAAATTAATTTGGTTAACCCATCGAAGTCATATATTATGCAGATAATTTATATTAACGTTAATCATTTCATTATATCAACGAAACAACCCGATGCAATCAATAACCTCACAATTTTATCTTCGTTGTTTCCATAGCTGTACTGCCTATTTGTTTAATGTTAATTTTAAAATACTTTGTTTGTTCCTTTTCAGAGTTGAAAACAATAAAAAGCTATTTAGATTCATATAAAATCATCAACACAATGACTTCACATGGTTGCTTCATAATTATTCCGTGTGCTATATTTCATTTTTTTTTTAGTTCATGAGTAAGTAATATGTAAATTGCCTTCTCAGCGAGGTTAAAAAAAGGTTTGACAATTACCCCTTAGTTAATCTTAAAAGAAAGTAATTTTTTCGCGTAGAAAAAATTGAAAGTTATAGAATTTGTTTACCTAACATGCCAAAATTAACTTCAACTCCATAGCAATTATACATGACATGACATATTTTAAAAGCATCAGCTTTTTTATTTTACTAAAATATAAAATAAATTATGAAATAATATAAGCAAGACATATTATTCACGAAACTTGAAATCTCGTAAACTTCATCAATTTAGATGTTCATAATTGTTTTTATGAATAATAATTTTAATCGAATCGTGATTATGTATGTTCCTTCGAGATTCAGGTTTGGAAAGTAACCAGATCCATTATTTTTTATTTGATTTGATAGACTTAGGAACCATGGTTTTATTATGATTGCTACTTACAGAAATGAATCATAATATTTGTCAAATTACAGTAAAATTAATAATGAACTACTGACATTCGATAGCGAAATTTATATATTCAAGTCTCTTTTATCTCAAAGGAATGTATGAAAACTTATTAAATTTATAAAAATTTATTTTATTTTTATTCAAATTTTTAAATATTTATATTTAGGGAAAGGGGCATCAATTCTTTATTAAATATTTTTATATAAGGTAACATATTTAAAACATATTTTATTCAAGCTCACAAAAAATCAATAATGCAATAATGAAATTTTACTGCGGTGAATATTTGTATTAATTTTTTCTTAAACAAAAAAAAAATGCTTTAAGTCTCGATTTATCCATGCTTTTGACTACTAAACTTTGGATTGTTTAATTTATAAAGTTATAAATATACTTTAAAGTGTCGGTGGAAATGGTAGCTAAGCATGTATTTGTTTTGTATAAAGCGAAACAATTTTCCTTTTTTTTTTAAAAAAAAAAAACTGTTCTAATTGCATGCTTGATTTCAAATTTCAAATATATATATACTGTATATTAATAATGTAAATAAAAAAAGAACATCTTTTTACCAATTTTTCTAAATACAATTTAACTTTAATTTATCAGCGAAACGAAACGTGATTCTGAATTTAATATTGGAAGATGAAGAAATTTATCGTTAAAGAGTGAGCGAACTTATTTTAGATACTATTATCTTTAATGATCAGTCTTTTCAAGACTTTGAACATATGGGTGGTGTGCTATTAAAATTGAGGTACGGATCACACCCATATTAGCTTGCCCGAAGCGAAAGATGATTTATCAGTTACATTACGATTAAAGTCTCAAAATTACTTCCAGTTAGGTTACTATTTACTGTACAAATGTATTAATTTTTTTTCGATCAGTGAGATTTTTAGTTAGAAGTTATTTTTAGAATATTATCTTTTCAGTCTCATAACTTTCCAGGTAACAATAATTCAATCCGTACGCCTAGTGGATTTATTTATTCCTGACATTTACTTTAATTTATAATGTTTGATCATATTTTATAGACTTAATTTTAAAAACCGTAAATAAAATTGATAAAACGAATTACAAAATATATGTTTAATTACTCATATCTTTTGCAACACATTTTAGTTTTGGTGATTTTAATATTTAATGATACTGTATATTCAAAGTGTAAAAGCAAACAAACTAAAAATAAAATCTTGAAACCCTTAGTATATTTTCATATTTGTACAAGTTTATGCAGAATTCGGCTGACATTATCAAATTGATGTGCTATTCCTTGTGGCTCCTACGGCTATAGTAAGTCGTGCGTTAGTCAGAACGAATTCTTTACTGAGGTCATATAAGATTATAATACTGCTCGAAAAATATAATACTGATTTTAAATTGTATTTGATTTCAGAATAAATATGATTTTATTCGGATAAAAACAAATATGACTGAAGTGCAGAAGGGAACTAGTAGCATATGAGAGTAAGTGATCTAAATACACGATCACAAATAATTTAAAAAAACGGATAAAAACAATTCTTTTGTTGATGAGAGATACCGCCCTATATGATAGTGCTGTGGTTGTGTGACCAATATTTTATTACATTATACAATACAATACTTAGCTTAGCATCAATAGCTAATCATCCTAAATATTGAATATTAGTAGCTTACTTACGTTCAATATTGAATTTTATAGTTAATTATATATAGTTAAAGAATAAAAAAATACACCAAAAAGCATTAATTACTTAGTTATAATTAGTACGGCTTACATGAGATATTTGACCTTTGAAGTAATTAATTAATTTGAAAAGAAGAGATAGCTTTACTTTAATATTAAAAAATATCATAACAATTTGCGTTAATAAGAAATTTTTTTTATAAAAGCTATTATTTCGCATGGCATATTGGTTTGAGATAATGTTAAAGAATAATAGAAATTAAGAAAAAGAAATGTTAGGATGATAAGCTTTTTTTTATAAAGCATGATCTTGTGAGTCGATAATATAGATATTGTATATTTATATTGGTTAACGTCACTTAGTGACGTTATCCAATATAAATAACACACCGTATAATTTCCATAAATAATTACACGGACATATAGAATTATTACAATTTGGCCGTGACTTAATTAATCTCAATATATTTAAACTATAAGCAATTAATTATAATAATATGTAAATACATTTTTAATTATATTAAATTTAATATATAAAAGAATTGTTAATGTATTTTCTTTAAATAACGTTGTCATTGGTTTAATCTTTAATCTTTTATGTTTAGAATTGTTTGCGATATTGTATTTATGGATAGATTGCTTTAAACGAGGATGAACTAAATTCATAACAACTTTCATTTTTATTGTCTGTATTTCTCTATTTCTAGGTTTATTTTATTTAAAAATAGGTAAGATAAAGTTATTTTTGGTTGTATTTCATGACAAGCAAATTTAAAAAGTGGTAGCGTTTAATTTGAAGTGATATACTCTTGTCCTGTCTCTAAAAATTTAGTTTCACATTACCGCCATGTATCGATTAAAACTTCCTAATTTTCCAAAAAAATTACATAATTCTAATCGTGTCAAACTAGAATTTGTTGTGCCTTTATTTCATTTTACTTTTTTATTTATTTTATTTTTATTTTTATTTTAGCAATAATAGCGCTTCGCATTCTTAATTTTGATTTAGCTGAGTTTTTAATATACAAATTAGCTAAATTAGCTTTTCGAGGGGATCATTGGACATTTTAAACTATATATATCCATTTGCCAAGAAATACAACGAACATTATAATAAAAATAATATGCATTTTAGTTTGATGTTTTTTAATAAAACCATCAATTTTTCCCAATTTCCATCATCTATTGACTACGATTACAAAGGAAGAATTAAAAATAAATACAAATAATTCAACTATTACTGCTTCAACGGCGCTCTATAATAGAAATCAACAATTCCAATTCAATCCTATCGAAAACTCAAACAAAACGTTTTTATAACAAATTTCCTTCCCATGGCTTTGTTACGGATTTCCTTAAAAATATCGCGGATAGACGGATAGACAAATTAGATGATCTCTGAGTTCAGAAATGGCCGATTTAACATATGTCAGTTGGGTTCGTAAAAGTCCGAAATGTCAGTTTCGACATAAATGACAGAGATCGATCGTCAGAGCCGTAAGTACTGACTTAGGCGCAGCCAAGGATTTGAGGGTAACAAAAGAAAGCAAGCTAGGATGAAAAATTATATTAAAAAAAATGTAGATATACTTTAGGTCAATTTGTATCTCGAACTAAGTGTAATATTCTATTTTGTATTAAGTTGTAAAAAAACGTTCATTGTTTTTTTTTATAAAAAAAAAAATTACTGATTAATTAATAATTAGATCTTGCCTTCAAACCTGATTATATAATTCAATTTTCCAAGCCGTTCTGCAAAGGTAAGCTTTATAAAAGACTATTAATTTTATTAATTAAATTTGTTTTATGATAACTTACTTCCGTTCCCAGTTGCAAGCCAAGTCGGTTTTCAATATATATTTTATATTTCAATCGTGTGCATAAAAGAACTTCGCCTACTTTACATGCATAGCAAACGGCTTTTTTGGTGTATTAAGATTATTCTACATAATTTGACGCAGTCTGCAACTGGAACTTTATAAATAAAAACTAAATAAGTAATAGTTACTCGGCACGAAGTGCCGAGTAACTGTGGTATTTGCAATAAAAATATGATTGGTGAAATTTTGCTGAGCTCCGCTCAGCAAATTTCACCAATCATATTTTTATTGCAAATACCTGTAAGGCACGATAGTGCCGCAGTTATGAGGCATGTAGTGCTGAGCGTAACACTAAATTACTACTTCAACAATGTATTTTTTTCCGACACTTAGTTCAGAAATTTGTATAACATTGAGGCTCTATCGGAACTTAATAATATTTGTAGAGATCTTTATGGTTCAAGTATAACTATGAAGGTACACAATGAGCAATTATATTTTAATAGCGAACGACATATGATTATCTTGTGAAAAAGAAACAAAAGTTTACGAAAATATTATTTAAGTCAATCATTTAAACTAACCGAATCAGGACGACAATATCCGCGACATTTTTGATCAAAGACAATCGATTATTTCAAGATTACCTCCTCAATGCCATGCATTAATAATATTTTCTATAATTCTTATATAATTTTATCATAATTCGTATCGGAAATTTTTTTTTATTACTTTGTAAACTAAAAAAATTATAAAATAATCCAAAACTCTAATCGACTCGACTTCAAAAAAAAGTTTCTGAAATATTAAATCTCTCTACAACACACAATGACAAATTTATCTGAAATTCCCGTTGTAAACATTTTTAAAAGTATCATTCTTGATTCTTTGATGAAAGATGGGTTCATACGCAATGCACAAAGATCAGAAAGCTTTTTTAGTAGAAATAAAAAGTATTTGTTAGCAGGTTCTGCAATTGTTGCTGGTGCTGCTTTGGGTCCATTCGCTATTACTGGGATAGTGGCGGCATTAGGATTTGGTGAAGCTGGTATTGTTGCTGGATCTATTGCAGCATGGATGATGTCATTACATGGTGGAGCTGTCGCTGCTGGTAGTCTTGTGGCGATTTTACAATCGGTTGGTGCAGCAGGTTTAGGCATTGGGTCAATTATTGCTGCTAGTACTGGAGGTGGTATGTTTGCTGGGTATATTGCTAAAGCAATACTAATGATATCAGAATCGAATCCTGAAGGATTAAACGAATTGGAAAATTTTGTTTCCATTAATGAAAGTGATGACGACGATGAAAAAAATCATTTGCATAAAAAATTGATTTTTGACATGAAACAACCGCTTCTCGATGATAGTAATGAGAATGAAAAATTAAAATCATTTCTTAGAGGGTTTGACTTGGCTCGACAAATTTCCCAAGATAGAATCAGGAATTTCAAATTTTTATGTCTTGAAGGGTCCAATTTTTTGCATAACCACTTGGTCGATACTTACGGAAATGACCATGTTACTTCGGAACGGGGAGGTTATTCCGTAAATGTGAATTTGAATAATCCTTGATTTTCGAAGATCATCATCATTCTTTTTAAAATCAAAATTTGATTTTAAGGATTTTATTTTGTATTTGAATGTTTACTACGATTAATTTAATTTATAGCTAGAAAATTTTGGGTGAGATCTAATGTTATTCATACCTAATTCTTTAAGCTATATTTCAAATAAATATTATTTTTTTTTTTGCAATAATCAAAAGTGTTATCAAGCATAAAGTTCAGTAATTTGTGTTTAAGTTTATATTAAAAAGTGCTGATTTTATATCTAATTTCTGTAAAAATTTCCAAAAGATTAATATAGTACCGTCAACCGAGTTGCAACTATCATTTGAAATCCAGGAACAAACAAATTCTGATTGAGATTCATGTATAAATTATAGTTTAACCATATTATATCGGTTTAGCAGTTTAATAGCTCAATACCATCTCATCTCTATTCAGCTTAAATGATCTACCACTTGATTTTTATTCAATCAGATCATAGTGTGCTCGGAAACGGTCTATATCTCATGAAATATTCCCATATGGTAAGACAATTATTATCTAAATTATTATGTGGGAACTTGAATATAATAATAAACGTATAAAATTTTCAGAGAAATAATTTCAACAGTAAAACGCTTCAAAATGGAAAATTTTTCTGTTTTAAACGTTTTTACAAAGCTCATTTTTGATTCTTTAAAGGAGGATGGATTCATATTCAATCCATTTCCATTTGGTTTTATGAATTTTAAAGAAATCAAATCTTTTGTTGAAGATGCAATTTTTTTGAATCCATTAAAAGCATCTGGACTTGTTAAAGATGGTAGGTTGATGTTGTATTACTGCAGACTTTGCAGTACTTTGTCTGTGCAATAGCTAAACTAATACTTTTAATATTAGAAAAAAAATTGTTTTCCATTACAAATGAAGTTGATAATGATAATATGTTGCAAACAAAAGTAATTTTTGACATTAAATATCAACTTTTTGTTAGTAAGGAGAATGAAAAATTAAAATCATTTCTTAGAGGATTTGAATTGGCTCGGCAAGTACTCGGAGACAGAATCAAGAATTTCAAATTCTTGGTAATTATAGATGATAAAAAATGTCTTGAAGGTTCCAATTTTCTGTATAAACACTTAACCATTACCTACGGAAATGAACATGTTACTTCGAAATCGAGGACTATCTTTCTGAACAATAATATAATTTCTATTCTAAGAGAAGTCACAGAGATTGTCCTCCTTCTTTAACTATGTTGATTCATTGTCAAATATTTGGTTTAAAGGTATCTAGAATATAGGATACATTATTAAATTAGTGTTAGGTTACTTTTTTCTCTCATTTCATTTTGATCTTTTAAATTTATTATATTTATTATCCAATTGTTATTAAAACGTTAAAACAAATTTATAGCTAATGTCTTAAATCTTTGTGTAACGTGAAACGTGAACTGGATGTCTGAAGAGATTTTTGGGATTCTGTGTTAAAGAATTGAAGTTGTATCATGTAAAGTTTTAACATTTCAAATGTGATTGATAGAAAAATCGACGATTCATCTTTTAAGAATCACATTCATGTATGGTTGTGCTTCCAGCTGGTATTATTGAAATAATTAATGAGAATGTTTGTACAATCTCATCAGTTTGCGAATCGTTAATACAGATTTTGAATATTATACACAGAATATTTTATTTGTGAAATTACAGATTTATAACCTTTATTTGTGTCATTATATTTATAATAATATATTTTAAATTTATTTAGATCACAATTCTTACATTCGTATGTACGTATATAATTATTTTATTGGTTTCGAACAATTAAAGAATTAAATATTTTTTATACTTTTTTTATCAAAGGGACATGTAATGAATTGATTTTTGACAATGAGTATAAATAACATATTTTTATATTTGCTATACTTTTATTTGTTATATTACTTAAAAACTTTGATTTCGATTGATGCTGTTTGATTGAAATCATCAACGAATTTGTAAAGTTGTTGTAAATTCCATTTTATAACAAAAACATTTTTAAAAATCACGAACCATATATTTATTCAGGTATCAGCAAGTTCTTCCGTCGAGATCGAAGTAAATGATGCAAAGCAGCTATTACATTTCTTTTTATTTTTAGAAATTTTATTGTTATGGAAAATACTTAAAAAGTATGTGGTAATGGTGACAGAAAAGAAACTTTGAATTTAACATTTTTTGAAATACACCTTTTAATCCATTCATTCGTAATCATCAAATTCTATTGATGATGCTTACATTTTACCTCATAATCATTAGTTACAATGAGCAAAGCAAAATTAAACCAATTTACATATTTGCAGAAATATACTGAAAAACAGAACAGAATTTGACTATCGAGTTAAAAACTTTGATATTGAATTTATTAACCGCAGTTACTGAGGTATAGCTTGTGAAAAAAAAATTCATTAAGACAATGCCTATAAAGATGACGTGATGATAATATAAATCAAAATCTCGATTTTTTTTTTTTTTAAAAAAAAAAGGAAGAACGTGTACTATATACCAACCAACATTACCATTAAAATGATTGTTTGGTTTATGATGAATAAAGCGGAAGAGAAATTTGGTTGGTAAACAAATATGGTTCATACGCGGGAGGAGGAGCATCCGAATGTATTGAAATTTCTTGTTGACGTAAAACTTCATTAGCCAAATATTCTTCTTCTTCAACATCCAACATATTTACAATTTTTACTGGAACATCTAAATTAAAATTATATTTGCTAAACAGACCGAACCTAACTTTGATCTTAAGCTTATGAAAAACCGCGATATTAAAACTTTCATGTGACCAATTCAATTTATCAACACAATCTTCCGGTATAGCAAATTTGATATCAGTCGTACATTCATTGTGTTGCGCTTCTGATGTCATTGATATTTGTTTGCCTTTTAACATTGTCTTCAGCTTATATTTACTCTTCTTTTTAATATCAAATTCAGATTGACCTGCAATCACAGTATATTCCCTTAATCCTACTATAATATTTTCCAAGGAAACACGAGGATCATAAAACGTTAATTTCATTCTTACTATAATTGGACAACGAGGTCCGAAAACATTATTGTTCAAAGAGATTTCGTATTTAATTCCTTGTTTCAATGGATCATCCTTTATCCATTGTCTAGTTTCAGGCAAAGGAGGTAAAATATACCGATTGACATCATAAGCACATTGTATGATCTTTTCAGAGCCTCGGAAATTAGATTTCTTTGATATGATAGCTTGAAGACAATATTCAATTTTTCCTCGTCCTTTATCAATGGACATACTTGAAGGTATATCGAGAGGTAGTGGGATTTCAAAAGGTAAATCCATTTCATAGATCTCGTGATAATGACCATCCGGACTTTTCCATAGTTCGATAGAAACCGTACAGATTGGATTTGTATCATAAACTAAAACCTTTGGACCTGTTCCTTGTATTTGAACACATTCAGTTCCTAAAAAATGAATTTGAATCTGTTTTGCATATAAAGGTTGTTGTGCAGGAAATCTAAGATTCAACAAACCAATGATCGATGCATCGCTTGTAATCCCAAGGTAACCTTGTTGAAGATTTTCTCGTCCTAATTGGTAAGAGAAATATGCAAATGGGCTAAATTCTTTATATAATGAACGGTCGGGTCCTCGAAAAATATTAGTCATTTTTATTTGATAGGAAATAGAAAAATGTTATGATAATTTTTTTTAAAAAAAGATATGAGATTAAAATAAATGTGAAAAAAAAAAAAAAGTATAGTCATAATAAATTTATTGTAAATAGGATTATCATACATGAAAACTTATTTTTTTTGCCACTGCATATGCTTATTGCTTTAGTAACTAACCATATTGTTCTTTTATCTGTTCAATCGCTCAATAATTAGGCGTATGTAATGTTGATCAAATTCCGTGATAAAATCTTGTGTATAGAAAAATTAGCAGGTGAATTTACATAATTTTGCATATAAAATGTCCAAATATAGATATGTATAATTATGATGACAAATATATATATTTTTTTTAATAAAATGTTTAATTTTATTTTTTTTGATTGGAATAAGGCCTTATTAAATAATTGCCTTATCAATTTCTTGTAGTCTACATAATTTTCCATCGTCTTAAAATTTCCGATCAAAGAGTGAACGAGTTCTTGATCATTTGACTAAACTAAATCTCACATCATCTAAAGATCTGTCAACATCTAGAAATCAATCTATCTCCTCCTTTGATCATCATTTCTCCTGTTATTATTTTCTTAGATCTGATTGATTGCAATATCATATAATCGAACATGATTTTAATCTGACGAAATAAATAATGAATGAATTAAAATTTATACTCCTGGCTATCAATGCACGATGCATAATATCATAAGAACATTCTTATCATATTTCAATCATTCAATCCTATTAACAGCCACAAAGTTTTGTTACAAAAATGACGAAATAAAATTCAGAAAGAATTACAAGAATATGTATTAGTCAGAATCATTGATATCTTTATTGACAATGACTGTTGTTCTAATATATTCACAGCGTTAGAATCAGTAACTTAATGGCTGGAATGGCAGAGTGTATACCTTGTGATGTGAATTGACGTTTTTGAGAGTATGAGATGTAAAAAAAATTCTCATATTGCCATTTTTAACGCATTGATTTCTTTATTATTAATTGTATCCATGACCAGAATATTTATAAATTTCGTGAAAATTGTAAATTTTGCATGTGGATGCGGCGATTTTCCTCCTGCATGTGCCATTTGAAATAAAACTTGCCTTTTATATAGTATGATCAATGGATAACAATCGACAATGGAAACTGTAGGAAAAGTGTCTATTGTACCTATGAATTTATCCATTGCCAACTCTGATTGTAGCACAACGCAATCCATCGAGAATTCGATCGTAATAGATGAGCATATGCACCAGCTGCTTAATTAGGATTAAGAAATAAAAGAGAATTTGTGACGCGTATAGAACAAAGATTATTATAAAATAAAACAAATTCGGTTAGTGCAAAAATATTGAATGAATTCTAGAGAAAATCTGTGCAAATAATTGAGGAAAGAAAGTTGAACTCTTAAAAGTAGTTATAAACTTCCTCCCTACAATACATTGTATATTGTGGAATTGCAAATGCAATTATTTAAATCGTCGCGTAATAAAATTATTTTCTTATAATTTTCTAGTCAAGTTTTTCTTTATATTTAATTTTTTAATTTATTTACTGCATAAGAAAATATATTAGTCATAAAAAAAACGGATATTTTTTTTTATTTGGAAAGATTTACATCGATATTTTAGGTTAAATATGGTTGAAAAAAAATCATTCTTGAAACCATTAGTTGGAAGATGATTAATATCACAATGTTAACAATTGAAGTTGGTGAAAGATCCTTATATAAAATATTCCGCGCGCACATGAATATTTTATGTTACCGTTCCCGTATTTGCGACGAGATCTTCGGCTTCAAAACCAAAAAATGTTGATGATGGCTTGGCTCATTTTAAATTATCAAATATTTAACCGGTAACCTTTCAAGCTGATTTAATTCATATCTCTTTTTATTTTATTTTATTTTATTTTTTTTTTTTAATAAGATTTAAATTTTTTTTTTTTTGTTTTATAGGTATATTTATAGAGGTATATTAACGCCGAATGATCAAGACGCTTCTGGATCATCATCTTCTTCGAAAACTCGGTGATTATTTACAAAAGTAATTAATTGAAAATGAATCGAAATGGATGAAACAACATTTTGAACTAAATCGCAAAGCAAGATTTCAATCTAATAATTTATCAGGTCTTCAACAATTTTGTACGGATTTTAATGGTTAAACACTCGAAAAAATTTTCAGTTGCTACACTTCCAGAAAAATCATTACTATCAATCATTAAGATGAAGGAGATTGAAGTTGGTGAACATGATTTAAAAGGGGACAAGCACGAAATCCAACGCTCATACAGGTCCCGTAACTTGGACGGTCTTAGGAGGAGATTTTAGGCAAATCCTACCTGTAGTAATTCGAGGAACAAGTGGACAAATTATAGATGCTTGCATTAAAACTTCACTTTTATGGAATCATGTTAATATCATGCGTTTAACTATTAACATGCGAATTCAACAATTACATGATGATGAGGAGAAACAATTTGTAGATTATCTATTACAAATTGGGTAAGGAAAAGAATTAACATATGCTGATTTCGGTGAAGACATTATAAGATTGCATGATGGAATGAATGATTACTTCAAAATGATGGAGAATTCCTTACAACGATGCTTATCTTTGATCAGATTTTTTAGATTATCATCACATAAAGTACGCCATTTCAGAAATTGTTAAAGCCTTAACTTTATGTACATTTATTAAAATCTTATTTGGTTCCTAATAATGAACCAACAGACGACAATTACTCTTCAGGAGCATCAAAATCAATAACTTCATTGACTCAAAAATCATTAATATAAATATTATTTCAATGATTTCAAGATGGATTGAAGTTAATTGGCGGTGATCTTTTGATATGATCATCAAGTGACGATTTTATAGGATTTGGTACGACGACATTTATTGTAAAAGAATAAAGATAAATATTGAAGGTGTATTCTCTATATATGATTATGAGATATTTCAAATCATAAAGAGGCAAATATATTAGGTTGTAATCGTTGTAATCTGCTTTTATTTGAGACAGAATAATTTCAAATTCTATAATAAATTTTCATTTGCAGTAACTCCTTTTAAAAAGGTTTTTTTTTCTCCCAAAATTCTTGAGAACACATTTTACAAAGATCCTTGTCGTAAGTTATCGCGTATAATTTTGAACTCTACGTCGCAAATCTATCGATAAAATAATATCAAGTAGGCATGTATGTAATAAAAAAGTATTTGGTTCATGGGTAACGTGACATACAAATCACGTCTAATATTATTTTTATTATTAATTAAAATAACTAGAATACACGAAAGAAAGTATTATTAAGCCATTCCATTGAAAAGGATTTACTCTATAGCATGACGTATAAATAATATGGATTAAATAAACAACAAGTTGATTGAAATAGACGTTGTTATGCTTAAACGATACGTCGCTAAGTTAACAATTCGTATTTGCTAACAGTGATTTATTTAAAAAAGAATTAATTTGTAAATGAGCAAAGGTTAATAAAATATTATTGATATATTAGAGATTGATGCCTTTCATCAGGACAAGATATTTATATCAAATACATCAATAAAAAATATATATTAATATAGTAAAGATATAAATAAAATAGCTATCTATTATAACAATGATAATAAATATATTAATGAAATTAGATAATAAATATAATCGTGATCAAACTATGATTGGCGCAGTAATATTGCGGTGCGATAGGATTATACTTACGTCTTGAATAATATCGCTATTGAATATTGTGTCCTCGGTACGAAATGCAATGTTTTCTTTGTATTTCGAACTTTTTTCACGTTTTTATGGATCATTAGCAGATTCATCATCATATTCAAGTTTTATACTATGAAAATTTAACCTTTATGTAATTGTGGCATCCATGTATTCAAGTGAATTATTTTTATTGCAAATTATTCTGTTTTTTTTGGTGAACAAAAAAAAAAAATAATAATAGAACCTTTATAAATGGATTTCAAACTATATAAGAACCTTTTCAAGTCTTTTTTCTGTCGGATAGACAAAAAATTATCATTAATACTTCTTGCCGATCAATAGTAACTTTAATTATTGAGGTTCTACAATTTTGTAATAATATTAATTTAAAAAGTCAAGTTTCACATCTTAGTAAATTACCTCAGTCTTACGAAGCGTGGAATCGTGTCTTAGATATTTGTTTAGGGGCGTTAATCTTCGGTGGTAGTAATTGAAGATGGTAAGCATTCTTATCAAAAAATAGTCTCGTTTTTATGATTATAATCGGTTTTGAATTTTATTAAAATTTAACCATGGGAAATCGGGTTGAGAAAAATAAGACTGTACTATTAAGAAACAAATAAATCCAAAAACGCCGTAACATATTCTATACCCTTCTCATTAATCCTTTTACATCATCATATCAATATAACTCAAATCGGATTCGTATTCAAAGATCACGAGAAAAAAGAATCCCAAAAGTAATATAAACACGAAAAGATTAAGATTTTCCACGTTTTCCTCGGATTTTTTATATTTTTTTGAAATTTCTGTGAGGTTTCCCTTAAGTACGTTATTTTCATCATGTAGCTTTAAATAATTATCTTGAAATTTGGGATAATCGTCAAGTTTAACTTTGAGATTCGTGTTTTCGATTCGAAGTCTTGTCATTTTTTCTTCGGCTTTTATATACGTTTCAAAAAGTTGTTTAATTCGATCAAAATATTCATTTTGCTGCTTTAAATAAATATCTTGAACCATGCTTTCGATATGAAGGTTTTCCAAGTTATTATTAAATCGTTCGGAAATTTCCTTGACCATTTCTTCATGTTGGTGTTCGATATCACTGAAGTTTTCGATTTCTTCACCTTTCTTTTGAAGCGTAAAGTAATTATTATGATGAGTTTCCATAACGAGAATCTCGATGTGAATTCGATGAAAAAAAATTTACTTAAGAGACATTTTAATTGAAAAAAAAGGTACTTTATAAGTTAATTCATTGTTGAATATCTCGTGGTTGATAAATATTTTAAGTTATATTTACAGTACATTCATCATCTTATTTAGAGTTTAGTGAATGTTCCAACGGCCTTTTTTAGTTGTAGATCTTGTTGACAATAATTATCTAGAACAATCTTTTGATAATTTTTTTGCATAATTTTAATTTCCGATACATAAAATTTTTAAAAGTCAAAATATACAAAAATTATACAAAAAAAAAATTTGAAAATTGAAACATACAAAATTTATATTGAAAACATACAGAATTTTTTTTAAAAATACTTTATTGTACAGAATTTATATAGTTTTTAAGATATACAAATATTGTACAACTTTTATATATAAAATTTATTATTATAGTTTTTATATATATTTTATTGTAAATAATATTTATTAAAAATTTTTATAATTTCAATAATTCTATTCAATTACAAAAATTACAATTTATCTGATTTTCTTTATCAAAAATAACAAAGTAATTATTAATTCGCATGAATCCAACACATCTATCAATATGTAAAACTTTAATAAAATTATAGCTACCAAATCCCTGAAAGGTTTTAACATAAAAAAAATGTATTAATATTAACATTTTCAGCTCATTATATATAAGCAAGTATGTATATTTTATCAAGATAACTATATACAAATAAATATTCTATTTATTCATATAATTTTTTATTATATACATTTGTATCTTAACGTTAATGAATATAATTAAAAAATATTATTGTTAGTAATATAATAAATGATGAAATTCATTTAATAATATATAACTTATAGCAACACATAATAATTATTTCTTGAAATATTAGTTTTTCTTTTAATACAGTAAAAACTGATTAAATGACAATCTTTTGTTTTAAAATGACCATATTTTCTACCATTAGAATTAATTTACTAATATATTTTAAAAATATATAAAAAATTATTTTAAATATAAATTAATTATTAAATTATTACAAACTTTTATCATTTCTTTTGATATATTATATTGAAATGAATATAAAGATTTTAATTGACCAATTTCTATTATATTTAAATTATAATTCATATTTAGCCGATATAGTACTTCTTCTTTATTATGTAATATAAAAACTATATTTAATGAATATGGATTATTTAATTTAATTCAGATTTTTTAAAATTTTATCATTATGCTGAAATAAAATAAGATAATTTAAATTTTTTAACTAATAAAATATTATTAGTTAAGTTTTAATATAGATAAAATTTTGAATTAATTAATATTAGTAACATGTTACATAGATATTTCATTGGATATTGCCAATAAATTTCATAAAAACAAGAATTAGTAATATAATTAAAAGATATGAAATGAAATACGTATTTAAAAAAGTTATTTTTCTTTATGTTTATAATAATATCTATTTAATAAAAATATCAATTATTAGCATTTAATAATTATAATTAATATAATTATAATAATAATTAAATATTTGTTATACTTTTCATAATACATATAAAATTTAATAAAAAATACGAATGTTTATTAAATCCTTATACAATTTTTTGTTAAAGATAAATTTTAACAGCTTCTATAAAATTAATCAAACCCTTTAAAAATCTTTTAAAAAATAATATATTATTATTAATTAAATATGTAATTCAATTTGATTATTCTATTCTGCAACTTTAAATTCTTAAAATGTTTAAATATATTATAGTGATTTATCAAATTCAAAAGATATATGGGTTGTTACGTAAAAAAAATCAAGGTCTGAAATATTTTTTCAAATTTTGAGTAAATCTGAAAAAATATTTATATTACACAAAATTTTTTAATCTATTTTTAGATAAGAAATTGATTATATAATTTTATAAATTCTTAACAAAAATCATAAAATTTATGTATGAAAATTATGTTCTAAACCAATGTTATACTAAATGATTAATCATTAGTATAGAATGATATGCATAAATTTTTTATGCTGATTTTTAAATATTAATATTAATTTTTTAATCATATGAAAAAGTTTTTATTTGAAATTTAGTTTTATCTTTATTTTTACATTTTTAAACATAATATCTTTAACTTCTTATGATTTATTTGCTTTGGGTTTAGAGAAATATGCTAAAATTAAAGAAATTCAACAATTTTTTAATAACAGTTAATATAGTTGTAAAAAGTTTAAAATAAGTAAAGATATGCGTACTTGCTATGAAAAAATTGGCTTTAAGCAGTTTTTTATATGATATATTGAATTTAATAAATTAAATAAATAACAATTAGATTTTACTATCCTATAAGAAAACAAAATAAGGAAATAATATGTTTTTTATAAGGTTTATATACGTAATTAATGATTCTATATCAAAATTTCATATGATTTATAATGATTTATTTTTTTATAATTTTTTAGAAAATTGATATATATAGAATTATATAGGAATTTAAAATAATGTATAAATTTTATGTAAAATAAAAAATATAAAAATATAAAAAATAATATTCAAACCAAAAATTTTTGTGTAAATACCAAATTGAGCTTGAATATTATATTTGTAATAATTCTAAGATTTATTACAATTCTTCTATTTTGATCATCATATTTATTGATCCATAAATAAGATTTATTATGTTCTACAAATTTTTTATTTGATGATCATTATTAACCAATTGAAAGTGATAGTTCTTTGTTTATTTTTCTGCAGAAGATTAATTTTCTCTACCAAATTGAGCTTGAATATTATATTTGTAATAATTCTAAAAATTTATTACATTATTTTTATCTATTAGATTTATTTTAATCATATTTATCGATCAATAAACAAGATTTTTTTTACAGAAACTCTAAAAATTCTAATAATATTGATTCAATACCACAATATTATTATCGATTCAATATAGTTATAATATAGATAATGATATTATATTGAGGTTGATACTATATATTCAGAATATATTACTAGAAAATAGTGAACTATCATATAATGAATAAGTTCATACCCAATCAAATATTAGAATATTATTATTGTAATACCCAAATGCTATATTTTTTTTAGTTTATGAATAAGGAGATAAGGAGAGTTACAATTTTGGAGGCATATATCAAATAGGAACCAATAATAATGATTGAATTCAAAAACAATATGTATAATACTTCACCTATAGTTGATAATCACAAATTAAACTGATCAAAACCAAAGGGTTTTCTTTTTAATTTAATAATTTAATCAAGTTATATTAACTTATTAATTTAGATAAAATACTCGTATTGAAATGCTTTACCTCACAATATTTATAAATTGTGATACCATTATAATTCTTGAAAATCCAAGATTTAAAAGACTAGTCAGGATATAAAGCTTGAACAAGTTAATCAAATCAAGATTAATTTCCACTTTCAAATATTATGATTATAGGAGACTGTGTGAACTATTTATTTATCTGATCAGTTTATATGCAGACTAATACATTTTATTAAACAAATCAATTTTATTATATTATATCAAATTGATAAATATAGTTTTTAATATTACCATAGAATGCATCTTTAAGTTGAATAATTCATTTTTAATTGTTTGGTAAAATCAGTTAAACTTGAGAAAAAATTCTCTTCAACAAATCAATACATTTATTTTTATCATAACTGTTATTTTAATTAAAAACACACTTTTGTATTCAATTACTGATCAAGTTATCCAAATTTTTCTGCCAATGTAGTAATTTTACATATTGTTATTATATATCTAATCATATGATAAACAATTTTTATTATCATAGGATGCATAAAGTTTTCCTTTCAGAAATTTTAAATATTATTTGTATGGAGAATTTATCTGATCAGTTAAATGTAATCGTGTGTAAAGCATTTTTATCTAATAAGTCAATTTAAAGTTAGTTAATGAACTAATTGATCAGATAGATAAGTTCATTCTGCCTGTTATACAGTAAAATGAATAAGAACAAACATTTGATTGATTTTCCTACTTTTGAAAATTATCACAATTTTATTTCTTTATTTGTTTAAGTATAAATGAATATTTTTTTATTAATTTTATTGGATAAGCATTTTTTTATTTGTTTATAAATGCAAATTTTTTTAAAAAATAAAAAAAAATGAAATACTACAAAAACATAAAATACAAACATGTTAAATAATAATAATTTCGATGAAGATTTTTGAAATTAATAATATTTCTTTCAAAGAATTATATAGGCTATATAATTTATTAGTATATATAATATACAACACAGCAGAAATCCTCAAAAAATATGCATTATCATTTAACAGATTATCAAAGAGCATAGAAAAGTGTTTGACAGTATCTTCTGAAATTATGTCAGCTATTGCATCAATTATTTCCGCAACAGCATTCATAATAATAGAAATAGCAGCAATAATAGTAGTAGCAGCGGCAATAGTAGCAGTAATAATAGCAGCAACAATAGCAGTAATAACAACAGCAGTAGCAATAATAGCAGCATTATTAGCATACATAACAATAGTGGTAGCAACAACAGAAGCAATAATAACAATAATAACAACAACTACAATAATAACACAATTATCATAACCACAATCACTATTATTCCATCAAAATATTTTACATCAAATAATGTATTATTATCAACTAATGATAATTGGTTGATTACAATTGGATTATATATATTGCCTGTTTTGTATGTTTATATTTTGGGCATAAAGCAAATAATTATCCAAATTAATTGATAATTATTTAGTGAATTGTTTTAAATGTTTGAATCGTGGATATTCTGTAAGAGAATGCATATCATTTAAAGTCAAAACACAATTTAAATGTTAGATGAATTGCAATCATTTGCGAGTTTAACTACTTTTATATTAAAGGCATTAAATTCATGGGCCTGTATTTTGGTGAAACTAATTTTAAGTTGCTTAGCTGAAATTAATTTGAAAAGAGCATGCCATATATCATGGTAGTCTATCTTGTATGTTGTATGTAAAAAGATATCCATTTTTTCTATACTTAGAATCAATGGGAAGCGTTGAAAAGGCATCAGCATTATTAAAAGAACAGCCTTCAAATAATATCATTATAGTCATAAAATTGTCAGCTTGTAAGGGGATAAAATATTGAAGGATAAAAGATTGATCTTTGATGTACAGTATATAGTTATGCTTATAATAGCGAGTTCTAATATTAGATGCTAGCAAATGACGAAATTATTAATATTATTAGTTTTGATTAAAAATAGAGAGATAATGGGAATTCATATTGATGTGGCAATTGAAAATTGCTTAATATTAATCTGGTGGTAGGTCTATGTTAAAAAGCTTTCTATATATTTATACCACTTTAGTGTGAGAAGTGATGTATGTCAATTATCATATACTTTTGTATTTACATATATAAAGAAAGCTAATCTATTAGCAAAAATGAGCTATTCACAGTACATTAAGCCTTTAGGGCAAGTATAAGGATAATATTCCTATAAAATGATTAGTTAAGTTTAGTGTGTAATAGTGTAGATCCTTCTTTAACAGTGTCTTCATGGTATAAGTGAGCCTTAAAATTAAAATCAAATCTTTAAGTCTGATAGTAATGCTATAATTCAATCTTTGAAAAGCATTGGATTATTATATAACTAGTCTTGGAAAGGTGAAGTAGGGAGCCATTCAAGTATTTGTAATTGGAGCAGTTTGATATCTGTGATGCTACCAATCAGATCATTGTTATTGAAAATATTATTAAAGACAGTTATTTTATCTTGAAGTTATGAGTCATATAAATGAGAAATGTTGTATAACATAGGTGAATAAAAGGTAGAGATTAGTGTATCTTTAGAAAGAATTGACTTTGATTTAGAATACGTCTAAATATGCCTATCATTTGATCACAAAACTTTTATTCTAAGAATATTAGCTGTGTTTTATACTGTATTCTTGGAAGATTAACAATGTTATAAATAAAAACCATCTGTTTATCAGTGAGGCTTTTGAGCATCATATTTTAGCATACTATATGGATTTTTTGGTAAACTTATTGTTGGATAAACTGTTTATTATGTGACATAGAAATCCAAATTCCTAGATATCTGACTAAGAAGTTAAATTTCACTGACGTAAAATCAAATGATATAGATAAAAGTAGTATTTTGATTTTTGAATGAAAAGAAAAGTATATATTTGGTCATTCATAATATTTATTATCTATAAAAATAAATCCTTGAATTATATCCTATTATTAAAAAAAACAGGTTTACATCTAATATAATAATAATTTAATCATTATATTTTTGATTTTTTAATAGTTTAAAAAATATTTTATTATTAGAACTGAAATAAATTTATTTATAAATCTGATTTTATACTTTATTTTAATAGATTTATAAATAAACTTTTAGTAAAATTTACTTATAATAAAGAAATTTTCTTTAAATTATCAAATTGGTAATATAAACATAATTTATTATAGATGTAAAAGTTTATGAAATACTTACAAAAAAAAAAATAAAAATTATCTATAATATTTGTTTACTCTTAATTATCTTAATTTTTTTAAAAAAATTGATACTTTTAGTATGATAAAAAAATAAAAAAATTTTTAATAGGCTAAAAAAAATATATTTTAAATTATATGAACTTATAAATTAGACTTTATTTAATTTTAAACTATCAGAATAATATACAAACAAGTTTACATTTTACTTTTAATGAAAGAATTGAAAATGATTATTTTAATAGATTTATAGAATTCTGTAAAACCTTTAATACTAAGAGGACAGATAGGATTAGATACTATTTTTTATTTTATAAAAAATAAAAGAATCTATATTTATAAATAGATAGTGATATGAAGTTAAATGTAATAGTAATGTTTAATAAATGGTTTAAACTTAAATCTTATTAATTTTTTTTAAAAGAAATCCATACTAATAAATCAAAGAACTAAGTTCAATTTGAGATAATAAAATAATAAAAGTAGTAATTTAATTATTTTTTTATTTATTTAATTACTAATATTTATTTAATTTAACTAGAGAATTGTATAAAAATTAAAGTCAGAAAGAGATACTTCTTCTGTATTTAAGAAAATTTTACTTAATAAAAATATTAAAGTCAAGTATTATAAGTAAATAATATAAAGTATTAATTTATTGCACTGGTTGAAATCAAAAAAATCAGACATGTGATAAATCATCCATCAATCGTCCATTAATCGGACATAATCATCAATGGCCAAAAATTAACCTAAATCAACCTGTCCAATTTATGGAAGATTTGTATATTTATAAAATCAGAAAGCAATTTTAATAGATTATTTTTTGTCGAAAATAACAATTCGAAAGGAAATAAGATGTCATAATTTCATAATTGGTATTTTCTATTAATCGGATTGATGGCCAAATATTCTTTTGCATTTCGCCGAGTTGAAATCATATAGTTCACTGGTACAAAACGTCCTAAAATATGATGTACTGGTATTATGCAATCACAACTTTCAGGGTAAAAATCGGTATCCCATAGTTCAACATTACATGTTTCTTCAATGTTAAAATGATATCGAACATTTGGAGAACCTGCAGGTTGATACCAGCGAACATATGCTAAAAAATGTTCAGTCAGTCCATACGGTAAATCAACTGTATAAGTAAAATAATATTGAACTTGACCTGTATAACAATCAATAACATTATCATTCGTAATAACTTTGGCCAAAATGTATGAAATTTTCTCATGTCGTAAGGACATTGTTGAACTGAAGATTTCAGAACCGATTTGACATCTTCCAAACTGATTCATTTTGAACCGAATTATTATAGCATTTTCTGAATCGTCGCTAAATGGTTTCTAAAATTCGAGATTTTCATAAGTTGCTAAATAGTATTTAACAATTAAATCCAGCATTTCATTTAAAATGATTATATTATCAGATGATGGTTTAAGAAATTTTCCTGAAAAATTTTCATTACCAAAAATATGCGATTCTTTAATATTTTGGGAATTCATGTAAAATCAGTATATTTCATCTGAAGAAAATTGGTCAGTAACTAAAAAAGAGCCAATAGAAGACCGATTGTCCAAAAATTCAAGCCCTTTCATCTTAACACCGGAATTTATGATATTGTCAATTTGACCATTAAACATCAATCGATGCATAAGTTCAGGTTCGATTTTTCTATTGCTATTCGGTAAAGAGCCTAAGAATTATAAATTTAAAAATTAATAAATATATTCAATCGAAAAATTTTCATAATGATGAATTACCTAATATTCCATTCATACGTTCAAAAGAAAAACACCAGAACGCATACAATGGCCTATAATCAAATGAGCAATCGTATAAATGAAGAGATAAATGAATGTTTGGTGTAATTTTATTATGATCATGATTAACTTCTATTAGCTTTGCTATTTCAATTAATCTTCGATGAGCTACTAAAATAAGATCTAATTCTATAATACGGCTAACTAAAATTAAGCAAATTCTCACAAAATGTGTAAGAATCTTTTTATCTACAGCTAGAAGATGTTCCCAAAGCAATATAGTAGCATAAACAGTAAAAAATATTCACCATTGATCAGCTGTAAAATTAGAAAATCCTTCTCCTTCATGAATTTTACCCAGAATTCAATCCAAATCAGATGGAATCTGAAACTCATTCATTTTTTTCTGAATTTTTTTCAGGACATTTGATATTAAAATTTCCTCATCAATCCAAATTTGTTTTACTATCTATTGTGCAATTCCTAAAAATAAGCAATGCATTGGGTCGATTGTGATAAATCTAATAGGATCAAAATATAGTAATCACAATAATTCAGACTATCTTATACCAGTTTATTTTACAAATTACTTTCGTGAAGCATCAGAATTATAATATCTCCATTCTAAAGCATTCTGACGATGTTCAGTTGGATCTCGCATGAAGAACCAATCATCAAAATCATCCATACTGGCAAAATTATGCTGCTGATTTTCATAATTTGCTTTCTTCTCATACCTATGACATGATACTAAGGTTGAAATATGACTACATATTTTTCTAACAGCTGGTATATCACATGAAACAAGAATTAGAGCTGCACGAATGGTCCTTTCTTCTTGAAATTCGTATGTTTTATTTATAGTTATTCCATCCTAAAGAGATTTCAATTCATCAACAATCGGTGTTAAATAATAATTTATTTTGTGCAAGCTTACTTCACTAGGCCTAGGTAAGAAGCCAAGAGTCAGTAGGTTTTCACGTTTGAATTAGATATCACGCAGCAAATTGTATATAGTAGTATAAATATTACTAATACTATATACAGTACCTTTATAAGGTTAGAACCAATCCAAGTTCAACATTAATCCAAGGTGAGAATTAGCCACTTCATCTCTAAAAAAATTTTGCGAATTTTCTTCAGAAGATTCTTTCAATGTCTGCTATACTTGATCATCATATATATCAGTCCTAATATTATTATAATGCCAACGATTTGCCTATTGTCTTAAATAACTTTCAAAACAAGACCGACAATATATCAAAGCGAGTTGTTGTCTGATTTCAGAAAATGAAAAGATTAAATTAGGTCAAATTATTACTCGATTTGCCGAAACACTGATAGTTCAAGATATAGTTGTATTGTAAAGTCGTGATTTATGGAGTGATGAATCAGAAAATTCTATATGTCAGCACTTTATTATAGCAAGTGAATCTTCTTGTCTAAAATTTATCACTTCCTGTTTTTTATACATTTCAGATAAGAAACGAAGCTATAAAAATGATCTTTTAATCCAAGTTCTTTCCTTATTAAGTACATTGAATCTGGAAAGTCTCTAAAATCATCTTCACCGATTTCTGTCAATACTAATTTCATAAATTTTATCAAAGCCTCAGTTGCTGTCTCCATTATGTTGAATCTTGTCTGAAATGTCATAATCCAGAGCAAAATCCATAAAATTCAGTTATCAATTGTTGATTCTAGATCTGGTGGATCCTAAAATAGCTCATAATCAGATGATGTATAATTCTTAAATATTTCATAATCTTCATCATCACCTGATTCTCCATCATCCAATTCATTTCTATTACTACTACTAGGGTTCCGCAATTCAATTTAATATTTGAATATTTGATTTGATCAAATTCAAATCAAATCAAATCAAATCAAATCAAATATAAAATTTTTTTTTAATTATTATAATGATATATTAAAATAAAGTTTTAATTAAGAAAATCATTAGTAATTGCACTAAAAAATTTCAAAGATAGCTTTTATAAAGTAAGTTAGTAACAGGTGCATTTATATTAAGAAAAACATAGTAAAAAACGCCTCCGCGGCTTTGGAAATGCTTTTTTTTATTAAGTAAAACATAGTAGAAAATGCCTTCGCAGCTTTGAAAATACTTTTTTTACTAAGTAAAATATAGTAGAAAATGCCTTCGCAGCTTCAGAAATGCTTTTTTACTATGTTTTACTTAGTAAAAAAAGTATTTTCGAAGCTGCGAAGGCATTTTTTACTATGCTTTTCTTAGTTAATACCATCTCTAAAGCTTTGGAAATGGTTTTACTATTGATTCAAATCAAATTAAATATTTGAATAGTTGATTTGAATTTGATCAAATCGAATCAAAGATTAATTTGGATTTAATCAAATAAATGATTCTTTGATTTGAATTTGATCGAATCGAATCAAATATAAATTTGTATTTATATTTGATTTGATTTTCAAATCAAATATTCAAATATCAAATTGAATTGCAGAACCCTAAAAATGAACATCGACTTACTATATAATAATAACACATTTCAGGGCAAAAATATTGGTCTTTTCTTCTGTGCTGAGTGTAATATTATATTTCTTTTCAATGACTTCCGGATAAAGATGATACCATGTGATTGTTCTTAACAATCAGCAAATACATGATTCAATAAGAAGAGTATCATCAGATAAAATTTCAAATTACCTTCAAATACTAGATTTACTTCATCAAAAAAATGAATCACAATTTTAGGTATATCTGTTTGTGATAGCTTAACTTCTTGTTCAAAGTTGTTAACTATTTCTGTCCAATCTTCTGATGCAAATAAAGCTTTAGTTTCAGGATGGACGCCGGTGAGATCTAGAATGCCTTAACAAATAGGGTTACAAGTATCACATTAACACAATTATTACTATCGATAAAATATGATATGAACGTAACTCACTTTAAAAATTGTTGGCTATTTTCTCATATTTTGACAAAACATTCAATACATGTTCTACTAGACAAGAGCCAACGACTAGTACGACTCTGACATTCTAAACTATCTACATAAGTAACTTCAACAAGATCATCGTTATGATCATAATTATTTTCTGGAAAATTCTTCTTAGCAACGTAATTAGCATTATTATTTGTAGCATTGTCTTCATCTTTCTCTTCCTCTTCATCTTCATCTTCATTTTCCTCTCCATCCTCCTGAAAGTTTGATTATGATGCCCTTGTAGAAGGGTCTGCTGAACGTAAAGAAGCAATCCTGTCACAAGTCACTTGAACATTAACCTGTTCCTGTCTGTCTTCCAAATTTGAATTTATACTAGAGATATCTTTCTTAATTGATTAATGAGCTTTTGATTATCTTGCTGATCCTAAAAATTGTTGAAGTGATAAGTCTATTGTGAGGCTTGTTTTCAAATTTTCTCAAAAAATTACCTTTAAAACTTCAATTGTGTATGCAGACGTGATATTCATGTGTGTTTTTGTGTTATATTCAAGTTCAATAATGAATTGTCTCACTTTGTCACTGAAGAAATATGTGCATGAACATTGCATTTTTCTAGATATTTCTGTAATACTGCATATAAATCTTCTTTAAAATTATTAATTATATCTAGAGTTAATTTGGGTTGTGCAAATTCTAATATTCTGAGGATTGAATTCAAACATCTATAAACAAACACAAATAATTAGTCGTCTATCCTGACAAAATTGATTGACCTTATAAGACAATTTCTATCGCAAGTTAGTAGAAATTGGTAGTATATATATAGACGCTGATTGTTCTAAGCCACCTAAAAAATTCACCTGATTATTATCTTCTAATACACGCTCAGTCACGCATATCCCTACTGTCGACATGCCAAACCGTCCTGCATTCAGATGTTTGAAAGCAGTCTCTAGAGCTGTCCTTAATCATATGTATTAGGACCCTAGTCCCTGCATGCTGTTTTTTCAGGATGCATTCACTATACCTACTGTTGTTAGGCTATACTGTTCTGCATTCAGATGTTTGGAGGCAGTTTTCAGAGCTGTCCTTAATTATACATATTAAGGCCCTAGTTCCTGCATGCTGTTTTCCAGTATACAATCGACTGTAAACATCTTTTCATTTAATAATTGTAAGTTAAATGATTCTATCGTTACCAATGGTAACAGTTTTTTACAAAGAAAAAATTTTGTTGCAAAATGCTAAAGTGTGCAAAACTTTTATTATTGATTTTCAGATATATAGCAAATCAGAAAGAAGCGAATGAAATGTATGATGCTATCAAAGAGTGAGGAGTACGTGGATCCTAGGCTATTTAATAAGTCCCAGCATCAAGTTATTTTACTTTTCAATAAATTTAACTATTTTGTAATATTAATGTTAACTATGAGATTCTCAATCCCATACACTTTTTCTACACTAGATTTTTGAAATAAATAACCCAACCTATATCTACGCCTAAATATATCAATATCACCTGTATAGATTGTTTCACACAAGTAAACCTCTTTGAGGTTAAAAAATTTCAAACCTACCGTACAGAATAAATTTGGAGATTAGCAACTGAGGTAAAAAAAAAAAAATAATTGATGCAATATTCTAATTTATAATAATAAATAAATAATTTAAATTCAATTAAATCATTATATATATATATTTAATTCAAATAATATTTTATTATTAATAAAGAATTTAAAATTAAATATTATTTACTATTTAAATATTTTCATTTATTAACAAATCATAAAATGTTAGAGATTCTAATCCTTCTGAAAAATTTGTAAAAAAGGTCACTTTGCATTTTGATTGGTTGCTAGATGGTTAGTAATTTCAATTTTATCACTTTCAAATTCCTCATCATCTAAAAGATTAAGCCAATTTCCAATAATTATATTTTACTGATTTACTAACTCAATAGAATCTATTTCTAAATTAGATGTATTATCATTATCAATTTCTTCTTCAAAATCACTTTGAATTGATACAACAATATTACTATTTTGTTTAATAGCATTATATTTTCGTTGTCTTAAAATTTCTCCTCATAATTAATTCATTAAAAAACCTTCTGATATTAAAATATATAAAATTAAAAATATTAATATATTATTATATTAATTATTATATAAAATAAAATATATTACTTACTCCTAATTTATTGCGTCTTTTTGAATGAAGAAATCCCATGGTTGAAAATAATCTTTCAAGAAAAACACTATTAATACAAATTCCAAATAGTCTTAATGCTATAGTTGCAAGTTCTTTATAAGCATTATGTGTAATAAATTACCAATATTTAAGAATATCTCCATTAAATTGATCAAATAAAAACAAATCAAATGGAGAATTTTTTGAAAGATAATTTTCTAAATCCAATAAAATATTTGTTAATTTTGTATCAAACCAATCATTATAATAACTAGGAAATGGTAACCGTTATACGTCTAAAGCATAATTTTGATAATTTAGGATTATTTCAGTTAACTGAGCTTATAAGTAAAAACCACGTGTTTATAAATGCTCTTTTGTATTAAATTTTTATTGACCTTAAATCATGTGATGCGAGATAATCTAAAATGAAAATAAATTAAATTAATCATACATACACATGTGATAATAGTAACACAAAATATAATTGGATATTAGTATATACAGGACAGAATCACATTGCATATGAATTGGCTAGTAATGGGTTGTCCTCCACTATGCTTCAGACAATAAACAAGCCATTTTGCAAGATTTAATATAGATAAACCAGGTAATCAGATATTAAGTTTTTTAAGACCATAAGATAGATGTAAAAGCCATGATAAAACAAGTAATAGCTATTTCTATTGATTTTATCATTTTTAAGTTGTATTAATATATGAAATCAAAATGAAAAATCAGATTTCTTTTGTATTATACTTAACATCCATGCATATGCATGCATAATATCATATAATCGAATAGATTCTTTTTGTAATTTGTTTAATGTAGCATAAAATGGTAAAAGAAGTTTATCTAATTCTTTTAAATCAAGCCAAAATATTGAATCATTAATTATATTAGAAATTTGCAAGTAAAAATTTTTTATTATTAGAATTTAATAAATTTTCTAAAGTATTACAAGTATTAAAAAATTATTATTATTAATTTAATTAAAGTTTCATATTCTATTATAAATAAAAAATATATATATTATTAATGTGTCTTTTGATTTTAAAATATTATGAAAATAATTATAATAGCTATTCTATCTTGTGTCACATGATGATTTTAATGCAATAAGTTTTTCTTGATATAAACTTTTCTGATGATTGTATAATTAACCTAAAAAATATGTTGATTTATTAAAGTATCTAACTATTTTAATAGCCATATTCAAAATTTCTTTATATTGAGAAAAAACCTTAAATATATTATTAACACAAAAATTTGTTTGATAAGCAAAATATGAAATAAATATAATATTAATATATTATATTCATAATTCTTTTCTAAAAAATTAAAATTAAAAAATTTTTTTATTAAATAAATATTAAATAAATAGTATAAAAATAAAGTTTATATAATTCTGATTTGAAATTAAACTTATTGTTTCAAATCTGATATATTTATTTAATACATTATTAAATATATTATTCATATACCTTGATTTTACATTTTTTCTGGCAGAATCAGAAACTACACTAATAGGATTATTTGTTAACTAAAAGATCTTTAATATATTATTCTGTAAATGCATTAATTTTAATTATACAAGTCCTTTCAGCACTTATATCTTCAATTTTCCATACTAAAGTTTTTCCTTGTGAAGTAATGAGTATTATTTTTATTAGTTTTTGTTTAACAATATTTTTCCAACCATTAAAAGCTAATGTAATGCCAATTTTATTTTCTTTTGCAATACTTTTAATTGTTTATTTTGTTTGAGTAATTTATTTTTTAAGAATTGAATCAGCTAATTTTTGTCACAATGGTAATCATCAGGAATATTTTTAATGCAAAGTATTGCATAAGATTTATGGTTTGTAAATTTATGGGTGTATTACGGCATTAGTTTACATAAAATTTATGTTTTTGATGTAGTTCTTCATAAGATTTATGATCTGTGACATTTACACTATATTACAGTCGAAATACTTCGAACAATTTACAGTCTATAAAGTTTACGTAACACTACAATCGAAATACTTCAAAAGGTTTATGGTCTATAAAGTTTGTGTAATACTACAGTCGAAATACTTTGAAAGGTTTACAATCTATAATATTTGTGTAATACTACAGTCAAAATACTTACGGTCTATAAAGTTTACGTGAGACAACGGTCAAAGTACTTCAAAATGTTTATAGTCTATAATATTTGCGTAATACTACAGTCGCAAGGTTATGGTATGTAATTATTAAACCATTAAATTTCAGATTTACTTAAGAAAATTTTAAGCATTAAAAAAAAATTTTAATTATGACCACCAGATTCAAGTTTATTAAGCAATAATAATACAAAATAAATATTAGTCTATAGACTTTATTTTTTTATTTTGATGGTGATGATGACCTTAGAGGAGAAGATACCGTAAACCATTTTTTTATTACTACTTGGGAGCGTATAGTATAATAGTGATATATTGTTTCACATACCCATATTATCAATAATGTTTCAATATCAACATAAATTAATTCATATGATCTATTATTACAACTAGCAATAAACATAATATCTGATCATTTTCCAACTCCTTTTCGATCTTTACTGGACATACTTTGACGTTAAGTTATGGAAATATAACCAGATTTTCTGATTGGAAGATCTTTTAATAATGCTTGACTATTATATCAGCCATATATGTTGCTTCACTTTAAGACTCAATAAACTTTGGACTAAAAGTGGGATTTTACCAAATCCTTTGAACATAATTTTTTTCACCACTTCAATCATCTGATGCATTATTTCTTTCAGCCCATTTTTAGATATCACGTACCATCATCTAAGAGTTGAAAATAACAGAAAACGCTATAATATGTTCTGAAGGTAAATTAACTAAAAAATTACAAATATTGTCATATATTACTGAAGACATAATGAAATTTTAAAATAATTTTATATATCATGATTTAAAATAAAATAAATCACTATATAGTGACAATATTCTAGTTTTCATTATACTGTCCTTTTATATGCTTTATAATTTCTATTTTCTCATGATATTGGAACAGAAGAATATGCAACATATCTTAACGCTAAAATTTTTATATTCAAAATAAGGCATGCATTTACAAGAGCATTAGGGTTCTTATATATATGGATTTTTACTTTACTCACACTTCATTGACTAAATACAGTACCCTCCAAAAGTAATGTCGGTAGGGATGATACTTAATTTTTAAATTGTAATATCTCTATTATTCTGATTTATCACATTATTTATTAGGTTCAATTGGGTAAT